TGATGTGTATTTGGCAATACTTGAAACAGCTGTATGGACAGTCAAAAAATTCAATTAAATAAAATAATAAAAGAAAACATTGCTGCAATTCACTGCTGTCTGAAAACTTCAATATGGGAATAATATTAAAAAATGTTTGTTCTAATGAAAGTAATAGTAAATAATAATTTGTTTAAATCGAAAACTGAACTAATATGAAGAAGTATATGTATAAAGTAACTTTTATGAGTGTATGATCTTACCAATTTTATATACAATGAATCATCACATTTCAATTCGCTCGTTATTAAAATAGCAGTACCCAACAAAATCTGGGCATATTATAGTAATTATATGCTCTGAACTCATTTTATATCTCAAAACTTATGCTTTCACTAATCAAATTTGTACACATAATCACTATATTGAAATGTTCATTCCATATTCAGTAATTTCTAAAAACAAAAGTCTGTAGAGAACAAAGTTCTTGTTTATTAGAAAGAACTTTTGTTTCTTGTTTTATTTCCATGAAATCAATGCACTCGAAATGAATGAAATTTTTATTTTTACACACAAATAATTGAAAGCAAAGTACAAAGCACCACAAAACTCATTGCGGTACTGAACAAGTTCAGTCAATTCACGTGACTGAGTTCGCTTAATTAAAATTCAATGCGAGTTTTTTGTTAACTGATTTTGGCGTAATTTACGACAAAAAAGTGTAAACTGGGATTTTGTTAAAAAACATATGCATTTAATAAGTCTCGGATATGAGCCATGAGCCATAAAAAAGTGTTACGAAACTGAAAATAAATGCAATTGATATATAAAGAAAACAAATATATTATTATTTTTAAATGCTAAATAAAAATAAATAAAAATAGAATTACTTAATTTACTTTACTTAATGTTTTCTTAATTTAATTGATAATAATGTTAATTTGTCGTTTTTTTTTTGGTGAGAGTCGAATCCAATCACTTCCTAGTAAGAAATTTATTCAAATTAATTTTATAAAATATCTCAAACTAACTGTTGATATAAGATTAAATTACTTATCTGTTGCAAAGCAATCTCTGTAATTATTATGAATCGAAGTAGAAAATTACTTCATTCAAAACGCTCAAATAACAATTACATCGGCAGTTAAACATGTTGAAATGCTATTTAAAAACTTTGCAAAATTATTTTCAGGTGTAAAAAAACAAAATAAAAAACAAAACCCAACAAAATTGGTTTAAATTTTATGATTTTTACAGTCATTTAACTCAGAAACTGCAAAATAATTAAAATTTACTTTCACACTTCCTGTGCAAAGTTTTTAATGTGCGAAATTAACGCAACTTCAAATTCCGTTCGAATTGGACAAAAGGCAAACAAACGGACTCCCCGTCAAAATCCAAACAACCAAACAAACAGCACAGAATGCGATAATTGTTAATTGTTAATAAACAGCGGCGACAATTTATAATTAATAAATTAAAATTGTAATTAGCGAATTTTATAATTTATTAGCAACAAATTATTTGAGGCATAAATTGGCTTATGTTTCTGAAATTGCTGTCGTCGCGATTGTTGCTCTCACAAATGTTTCGGTCCGATCCGGTGTTGTCCTGTTATAGCAACTTTTATTGTTAAATTGCTAACCAATTGTAAACATTACATTAATAAGTGCCAATTATTGTTGTTGTGACTATTATACAAATTACTAATAACATTTATATATATTAAAATGTTCATTGACTGCGTTTAGTCTAATATAAACACCGCATAACAGCACAATTGAATTACAACTGATGGGGGATGGAGGATGGAGCAAAGTACTGAGATGTTAAGTACAAGATACAATTTATTTTAGAATAGCAAATATAAAAAAAAAAGAATTGGACATGACATTAAATCAATTATGATTAAATCAAAAAAATTAAATAATTTTTTACAAAAGACTTTTTTAAATAGCTTTATAATTACATATATATTATGTATATTCTTTAAAAAAATAATTAAAAAAATTGTTTCATATCTTAAATATTAGAGAAAAAGAAAGAAATATGAAATAAAAATATTTATTTTTTCCAAATTAAAAACTTAGAATTTGAGCATTAAAAGTTTCTGTAGCCTTGGCTCCTTATGAAAAAATATGATTAATCATCGCTACTAATTCGACAGACACAAGTTCTAATTAAAAAACTAACTATTAACTATTTCCTAAAACCACTGGTGATGAGTACTTAGCAATATTCGAAACAGCGTTGTATGCTCAAACAAATTTCATTAAATTAAATAAAATTTTTGTTGTTATCTTTTCATTTCTATTCGAACACTTCTAACTTTTAAATAGTTTGTATTCGTTATAAGCCGTGACACTTTCGTCAAAAAAACAAATTAATATTAAAAATACTTTTAATTTTGGTGAAGCTTCTAGAACTATTTAACTAATAGTTTTGTTAGAGATCAGTCATTTACAATGATATATATTCTTTGCACCAGTGCTTCCCAACGGGTGGTCCGTGAGATGTTTAAAAATGGTCCGCGAATCAAATTCAACAGATATGGATACCAAGACCAAAAAGGTCTTGGTGTTTTTTTCCTTTTGGGATTGCAGAAAGTATTTATTCAAAAGATTAGCTCAAAACTGATAAAACACTATGTTTAGACTATTATCGCAATCTTTTGATCTAATTAAATATCAAATATTTGTGTAAGAAGACTTTGTTTTCAGAAGATATAAATCATTTTTCATTAATATAACATAATGTAACTGCTCGCATAACTCTACTAAAATCGTCAACTTTCGCTAAAATCAATAAATTTTATGGTAATTATTGAACTTAAAATCCTACTGATTAGATTTAGGTTTCCTTGTACTCACATAAGAAACATTTTTATATAAAAATTGTCTTTCACCATCGAAGAGGTAACAGCTGCCGTAGATAAGTTGTTTACAGATCATTTCAGAGATGATATCCATA